GTGGGGAGTAAAGGGGGGGGGGAGGGGGGAGCCACTAAGGTCAGGGAGTGGGCGTGGTCACGGTAGGAACCCGGTGCGTGGGCGGGGCCTATCTAGGGTGGGCGGGGCCAAGCCCCTGGAGTAAGGGGGTGTGTTGTGCCCTTCTCCCGCAGGTCTCGTGCCCGTGCCCCTCCCTCGGCTCCCACAGGGCGGGTGTGTCTGCACCAGGAGCGTCGCACCGCACCGCACCGCACCAACTGCGCAGTCAGTGGCAACTCTGGGCGCACCACCTTTCCTTAGCGCTTTTTTAAGGAAGACTTAAACTCAACGTGTCTCAGTCATGTTAATGAACGTGTAGATGCGCCCAGACAGGGTCATTGTGCTTTGTAGATCGTGTATTTGGCAGTCCCGGTTCTGTCCGTCCAGAATAAAGCTTGTAAGAAAGAGACCTGTTCACTTCCAGAAGCACCGAAGGCAGCAGGTGACTGCACGAACCAGGGCGCTCTTGCGCCCAGCGCGCAGAACTGGACACGAGGCCAATCCCTGCGGGGACAGTGCCCTGGCTAGGAGCGCCAAGGCCCGTGCAAGGCTCCTCAGGGGAGCAGCTTTTCTAAATGAAGCACGTTTGTTTAACTGGGAGCTTTGCAGCCGGCATCGGTCTCCCGCAGCTTTCGAGGCTCCGGTCTCGTTGACTGACTGCGCCTAGGAAAGAGCTGCAACACCGATGTGCGTGGATGAGGATGGGGCTGGGCTGCTGGCAGAACAAGGAGCAAGGGTCTCAAGTTGCAGCGAGGGAGGTTAAGGTTGGATGTTAGGAAGAATTTTCTCACGAAGCACTGGAACGGGTTACCCAGAGAGGTGGCAGACTCTCCGTCCTTAGAGGTTTTGAAGACCCGGCTAGACAAAGCCTTGGCTGGGATGATATAGTTGGGGCTGGTCCTGCTTTGAGCAGGAGGTTGGACTAGATGTGACCTCCTGAAGTCCCTTCCACCCTCATTTTCTGTGACTCTACGTGGGTGTGTAGGACCCATGGCTTTGAGCTTTTTCCCCCTCCATCTGCACTTGCCTCCCTGGCCCCTCTGCTTCTCAGTCAGATCCAAAGAAAGCTTGTTGCCAGCAGAGAGTAGACAGACCGGAAGGTGGAGAATGAGGTTTTGTTGTCTGGGAGTTTCGGTGTGACATGCCAGTGTAATGCTTGGAGGGTGGGGTTCTGCTTTATTTGAGGAACAGAGGAGTCACTCATTTACACGAGTTAGTAAACAATGATCTCACCTATTGCCCTTCCTTATATCAGCTACCGACTAAGATCCCCATGCATGATCTGCGCGTGCTCGCAAGACACATTGCGCTCCAGCACTTAGATGTGTCCTCACTTGGGGTAACTAACACAATGCTAAAAAAAAAGGCCTGTCCCTCTCCTCAGACTCTCTGTGCCCCTGGTTTCAACTGACTGGGATGTGAACATTAGCAAATTCTCTGGTGTCAAAGAGGCTTTCACTGTTTAGTTTTAGGTGTATTGGTTGTAGCCGTGTTGGTCTAAAGGCATAGGCAAACAAAGTTATTTGGGTAAATGTGATATCTTTTCAGTTTTTGCTCTTTTGATCATACGATGTCACTATGTCACGGGGCTGCATTTTACGTTGGAGGCCTAGTAAGACAGGGGCCTGAATGTCTGTTCATAAAACAGCTGTCTGATGGAAAAAGAAATTACAGAGCTTCTCTGCATCTCTCACACATACACCCACACTAATGCACCAGACACCTCCAAATTGTTTTCTTCGGCACGCCGGTTTTAATGATTCATGTTACAGCTCCCGGGCGAGTCAACCTTTCCTAATCCTAGAACTTCAGTCCCTTAATGTCTGTATGTACCTTGCTATCCAAGTCACCAGGCCTTTTTTTCCCCTGAGGATCTATGGCCAGTTAAAGGAGGATGCTAGAAGCCAATTCAAAATCAGGTAGACCCAAGACCCATGAGTCAAGTGTCTGAGCTTTCCTTTTGACCCCTGACATACAGACAGTGCTGAACTGCATTCATAAATCCAGCATGGGAAGAGATTAGCTCCACCTTTATAGCAGAGACTGAGCATGAAAGATGCTGACTGTTTTAGGAGTTTAAATGGAAACTCTGCTAGCTTAGTAACATTGGACATCACTAGGCTCTCACTGTTTAGAGCAGATCTGCTGGACAGGCAAGGCAGAGCAATGGCAGTATGCATCCGCATTCGCGTGCACACACACAAGGTATGTGGCAGTGAAATCTCTAAGCCAGGCCACGTGAAAAACAGCCGAGGTATGTGACAAATTAGTTCACTGCACACCTTTGATCACCTCACCTGCCCTAAACACCTCACTAAACTCCTCATTCTACCATTCCAATCCTGTGAGCAACATCTTTTTGTTGTTGCTGTTTCATTAGCCGGGAGAGAAAGGTTGCCTTCTTCTCTCCCCCAGCATAGGATTCGACACCATAATTATACATGCCTAAAGTCCCAGTGGAGAAGAATCACTCCTAGCCCCATGACAGGTGTTTTAGTCAGAAACCTGTCATAGCTTTGAAGTCCACAGTCTCGTGGCCGTGCGTGCCTCTAAGTGGATGGATGACATGTCTCAGCAGAAAGTGGCAAGTCCCAGTTGCCGATCAGACCAAGCACTGGAAAGGGCCCGAGATGAAATCCTGTAATACTGCGATGGTTTGAGCCTTGAAAAGCTGGTTCGTACCCCATATAGTTGGAATGTAGCTTTCCTCAAGCCCCACACAGTCAGAGTTGTGCTAAGGAGCCCAGCTTTAGAGGGGAAGCTACACCCAGGATGTGAATGTGCCAAAGCAAGGTGAGATGGATTTTGCTGTAGGGGAGCTCACACCTGGATTGGGCTCAGACAGGTGCTTAGACTCTCCGGCCACCTGTGCACTGAAAATATGCCCCCTCCCCGCTGCTGTAGAGGGCCAGGCCCAGCTCATAAAGTGCATGTACGTTGTTCACAGCTTGTCACAAATACCTGTAATACACTGCGCCGTGCTTGAGGGCTTCTTACATAGATAGCACTGACCTACTGCAATCAGACACCATTGTCTGCACACCTTGGAAATGCACTTATGTGGCTCAGCAGAAGCAGGGAGGACATCACAGGCCTCTATCCTCAAAATGACCTCATCCCTTGTCTTCACGGCTAAAAAGGGCATTTTCACTGCACAGAAGGTAATGCATGATAAGTCCCTGCAAGGTGAACTCACCATGACGGCAAGGCACTTCAGTTTTACGGTGCACTCGGCACTCTTTTCCCACAGCTATACCTTGTCTGGTTTAACTCATAGTATCTGTTAAGCACCATGTTTTCACTGTAGTTTTCTAATAAAATGTTTAAAAAAAAAAACAAAAAAAAACCACGTTTTCACTGTGTGGCAGGGGAAATACCATGACCACTAAGTCGCACCCAAGGATGGCTGCTTTTCTAGCATGGGGTAGGTACCATACAGTACCCACGGAAGTAATGTATAGTAAAGCTCCCACTTGCTGCTGGAGTGGGAAGATCTTGGCTTTATGCCCACTTTATGGAAAAAGGAGACTCCTCCTGGGCTTCCCCTGGGGCCTTATGGCCGAGGGCAAGCGAAACACGGGGGCATCTGAACCCCAAGTCAACGAGCTTGGGCCTGCACGCAGGATACCTGCCAAAGGATTTAGAAACATCTGAAGCCCTAGGTGAGGTGGAGGATATTGGCCAGCAGTAGGGCAAACTTGACTGACTCACGGATTTGGAATTGATTTGGACCGGAACACAAACATTTTTTTTTTAAAAAAAATATGTTTTCACTGTGTTTTTACCTTGGGTGGCTCTCACATGTTGGTTTCCCTGTGGTCCAATACATTTATCTTTCGTAGTGTGGAGACAAGGCTTCTAATCATTCGGAGCAGAGTCTGGTCTCTGCTGACTCACTGCTCTGCATACCAGTCCCCCTCTCGCTTCCTGGTCTTCCATCTTTGAAGTGGGACTGATGATCTATCTTGCCTATGTTAAGTCACTCTGCTTTTGGGGAACAAAACATGGGACTTAGCCCTGGATGCTCCATGGGCAGATATTGAGAGCCCTGAAGCCAGAGACCAGCTCGTTTCAGGGGCAGGGCAACTTCACAGTTAGTAAATGCCAGCCCTGATCAGGACACTGCCTGTTGCTGAACTGCTGGTTGTCTTTCAGATTTGGGGTGAAAGTCCCTTTTAGGGAGTCCTATGACACAGCCGTTGAATGTGAACCTATTCCAGAAAACCCTCTCAGTCCCTCGGCCAGCACTGCCACTTCCCTCTTTCTAGCTCTCCCATCCCAAGTGAATTCCTGGCAGCTTATTTATTGGATTAGTTTAGACAGCAACAACCTATTTCAAATTGCAAACCAAATAATTAGTCATGCATGTATTTCACCTCCCCAAGTCAGCCACTTAAAATCTTTTATCTTTTAATAGCTCTGTTTATCTTGTCTTTTGAGAAGGGTGAACGTGCAGTGTCATGAGATCAAAACAAAACAAAAAAGAGACTTTTAGGTATCATTACCATGCACGCAGCCCCGTGTTACTCAGCATTTTGGTCATGCTTAAGTTTTTCCAATTTCAGGCTGAGTTCAAGTGTGGGAGATGTCAGCACTAGGCAGCATGAGTCTAGCAATGCAAACTACAAAATTAAAATGCTATACACACAGGGATTAACGAAGGCTTCTTGGTAACACGCTCGCATAATCACATCAGCACCTGCATACCTTGGTTACTAGGCCAGTGTTCAGACTGCTTTATGCACTTTTTATCTTAACTATCTGGGTGGCGGTGATTGTCCCTGCTACCATGTCTATCGGGGAAGGACCTTGACCTGGCTAAAGGGGCACTCAGTACCTGTTGCTTGTGTAATTCCATGTTTCCTTTTCCTTCGGCAGTTCACCTAAATAAGCAGCATCTTTTACATTTGGGGCTAAACAGCAGTACTGCCTTCTGCTGCTCATATACAATCCACGTTAACCTCTGTTAGTAAATTGTGAACCTATTAAAATGTGTTATACAGTATTTGTGCCAGCTGCTGGCATGATGTTAATAACCAATAACAAGACTTGTTGCATTTTGTCCTTTCCCCTTGTTTCGGAGCTGTCTCAGTCCACTTTGTCCTTGCACTCCAGCAAAGTGTTTCAGCAGTTCTGAAATGAGATTATTAGTGCAAACCACTGGCAGCTGAACATTTTTCCTTTTGACAGGGCTGATCTCAGAGCAGGCTGGAGCCTCTTGCTTGGTGACTGTAATCGGGTTAGGTTTGCAGAGATACAGTGTACTTATAAGATCCCACTGGAAGATGGTGAAATTATGCTGACTTACAGGAAAGCAGATACTGGAAGAATGTGGGAGATCCTGGTTGAAAAATTCAAGCAGAGGATGTGATGAATGAGGATTCAAGCCCTGGACAGATCACACAGTAACGTACTATGGGATCTATGGACCCTGGACAGATCACACAGTAACGTGCTATGGGATCTATGGACCCTGGACAGATCACACAGTAACGTGCTATGGGATCCATGGATGTACGAAGGGTTTCTACCAAAAGAGCCAGGGGCTTTGACCTAGACATAAAACAAGTTGATGGAGGCTACCACGGGATGAGTGCTAGGCAGGCAAGTGTTAAAAATAAGGCAACCTGATGAAGGAATGAGAGATTTCTCAATAGGTTGCAGTAAAAGATAAGACCTTCCTTAGCACACCAGCCCCTACTCAGCAGGAGTTTTCCATTGGGTTCAGAGAGTGCTGGGCCAGTTGAGGGAGCAGGCTAGCGAGAGAAGAGAACAAAAATCTCAGGAGATGGCCCTGGGAGGATTGTGTGGCCCCAGAGACAGGGAGGCATTGTGGATGCTTAAAGTGAGCAGTTTTCCTCGCTGATCACAAGAAAGGATGTCAAATGGCGGAGCGAGGTTTCCCACAAAAGCAGGAGAGCTGGGAAGAGGAGCACGGTCAAGCCAGAATCATTTACTGGGAAATTAGGACATCTGGACAGCAGCACCCTCTCGCACACCAAGGGATCAATCAATCAGCATACAGATTGACTTAGAGAATCCCAAAGTAGGGGTGGAACTGGTTAGTTCCATCCCAGAAAGCATAAGGAAAGAAAGATAATGTGGTTAGGGCATTGGCCTGGTGTTCAGATCCAAGTTGGGTCAGCAACCAACTTTATGCCTGTGCTCCCCCTGTGTAACAAGAGGGTAATAATCTTTCCTTTCGCCCTCATTTTGTCCGTGTTGCTCATTGGATGTGTAAGTTCTGGGAGGCAGGAACTGAGTCTGACCGTGCACGTGTGCGGCACCCAGCACAACAGGCGCTCCCATTAGATGGTGAGCAATGATAACGAAGGGACGGTCTTGGGGAGGACCACTCCTGCTTAATCCCAGCCATTGGGAACACAATGGAAGCACAAAGCAGACACTGGTGCAGCATCACAAATGGGAGGTTGCCAGTGTACATAGACATGTCTCTTCCCTCCAGGGACGTGGAGAGTACATTGATGCTACAGACTCCAGTGAACCCAAATGAGCTCTCAAGTTGCTGCTCGGGTTTAGGGAGCAGTCCAGGCATGACAGCCCAGAGCTCAGGGCAGGCTAATTTACCCTGCCAAAGTAGTAAGTGGCACAATCACAAGAGAAAACCTTGGGGAAATTCACCCCGTGTCTATCCCTGTGTACCGCTTGTCCAACTTAGAGTGGTGTCTAGGTCTCATGGTGACCCTCCAGGCAGGATGAGTTACACTGAGGAGAGACCAAGAGATATTACTGAAGAGCTGCAGGGATCAGCAGCCCTGACCCTGTTGCCCTCGTCTGCCATATCAGTAAGCTGGGAGCTGGAACACCACATATTTGAGGCAATGGAATTTGCTGACAATACAGAAGCAAGAAAAGCAGCAGCCAGCACAGAGGAGGAGGGTAATCCATGTTCAAACATCAGAGACACAAGAGGCAGTATTTAAGGCACCCAGATCAATACACGGCTGCAATTCTGCATTTCACACACACACAGTCTCAGCAGAATCTGGGGAGATGTAATAATGTAGGATAACCCTGTAACCCTTCAGTACCCAAAGCTTAACAGCAGGAGGGAAAAGCAAGAGGGATTCTGGTCAGCAGCTTCTTCAGAGCATCATAAATTACTAATAGAGCCATGCATGCAATACTAGTGCCAGCAGTGACAAGCCCCGGCTGGGGACGCACACTCCCTCTGGGCTGGGAGAGGAGCCAAATGCTAGATAATAAAAGAAATCACCTGCAAAAGCTCTTGCCTCTTGCAGTGAATGATGACTTGTTCCTGACATGCTGCCAGCCCTCAGCACCTGGGTTGTTAATGCCTTGATTGAGTGATGGAAGGGCACCCAGTGCAAACCACAAAGGCACTGTGTTTGGCAGGCAGCACCAGTGAAGCCGTTCAGTCGTGTGTGCTCAAAAAGACCAAAGTCAAACATCACTCACCCAGGAGCTGTGGTGCCCTTGGGAATGGGGCTCCCTGTGCTCCTCCGAAGCTTGAATGAGTCACGAGTGGAGCTGTCTCCCACACAGTCAGGAGAGCATTTATACGATGCCCCAGAGATAAGGCAGTGCACAGGTTAAACATAAACCTTTACAGACTGCAAAGAACTGGGCATGAGAAAGGGAAAATATCCGTGTGTCAGGGAAGGCTGTGTGCTGGGCAGAGGAAATGCCCAGGAGCCCCTGGCTAAGGGCAAGAGCGGAGGGGGAGATGGTTGTGGCAGTGGGGAGGAAGTGTCTTTGCTCCTGTATCTCCCCAGGGCCCAGGCCCTGAGCCAGCCCCATGCAGTGCTGTATCCATCCCTGGATTTATTAAGCAACACAATGAGCCTCTGGAGGGACAGAGGGCTTTGATGTTCTGATGAGCTCCTCCCCTGCCTCCCCCACACCAGCCTTTGCAATGAGCCCTGCAAGATTTGAAGGCAGCAAGGAGGGAACGGACCTTATCCTGCTTGGGACAAGTGCCTCCTGAGAGGTGCTCAGCATGCCTGCCTGTCCTCAGTGAGCGCTGACAGTACCCAGCCCCACTCTGGAAGCCAGAAGCGCTTGCAGACTCAGGCCCAGGGAGTGCCGTGTTCTCCCCTGTTTGCCTCTGGCAGCCGGCAGGCTATCTCCAGCATTTCTGCTGTGATGACAATGAGGTAATCCAGTTGCCCAGTGCCCTTTGTGTGGGTGATAGCGGTCAGCCTGCTGTGCCCCTTTGTCAGAAGGGATTATCAGAGCTGACTCCAGAAAGGAGAGAAGCCACATTGGCACAAAAGCACACAATCCCTCTGCCACAAGCTCCCCAATGGGGCAAGGAGGTGATAGGAAGAAAGTGAGAAGAAGCTGGAGATGCAGCCAGTATGCTTCCTCCCCCCCTTAGCATTTGCACAGTGATCTGGCTTATGAACTGCTCATGACAGAGCAATGAATTGACTGCTCAAATGCCTCATAACACCAGAGGTGAGGAGTGCTCCTGCCACAAGGAACCCTCTCCCCCTCCTTTTTCCCCCGCCTTCTCCAGACCCACTCATTTCTAGATGCAAACCCCACTTATACATACCCGGAAGGCCTCATCATGAGAAAGAAAAGAGCCTGTGGTCTGTAGCACTGTTTTATTAGCCATCAAACACATCAGATCAGCACATCGCAGGGGCGAGGGACAGCATTGTTAGAATCGCTTCCATTATCAGCTGCAGGGATCTTGCTCGCAGCAGGTCTGCTCCCAGCAGGCAAAGACCTCTGCAGTCTGGAAAAGAAAATTCCCTCCAAGCCCAGCTTCAGAGAGAGAGAAATGTGGTGAGTCTGAAATCAGGCAGCAGATGGGCAGGGTGGTACCTTCCAGACTAACTGGTTCAGAGGTGCCTCTCTGCCCTAACTTCTGCTTTTAGAGACAGGAACTTTAAACTAGATTTTTCTTTCCAACAAACCTCATGCTGAGACGTCTTGGGAAGAATGGAAGTTTGGCGTTAGACACAGGAGTGCTTGAACATTTCAGCCGCAAACATGGGGACACGCACTTCACTGTCCAAGCTTCCCTCTGACGTAAGCAATCCGGCCCCAACCCCATCAGAGCACTTTCCTGATCAGAACAAGAGAAGAGAAGAACTGTGCACAGAGGGTCATCATATTTGGTCCTAGTAAAAGAAGCAACAGTTCCCACTTGACTTACTAAGAGATTTTCCCCGATATATAAAAGTTGCTTGTGGTGTTCTTCCTTTTCCCAACCTCTGGTAACACAATCCACTCTTGCCAAGACTGTTGGTCTAGTACTATGCTACTTGGCACTGTGACTGTGGCGTAACCAAGATCCTCCCATTGGGACGCTGTAGTAGACTCTCACGGGGGTGCCCGCCTGCAGTGCGATGGACAAGTCTCCACCCTCAACTGCACCAAGTCATTCAAGGCCAGGAAGAAGGGGATCTCCACTTCCAGGTACAGTAAAATCACCTGAACCAATATCATCACCATGGTATCTCCCCTGCAGTAGCAGGGGGTTGACAGCAGGCTGCAAACCTGCTTGCAAAGCTGGATAACCGCTCAGGCAGTTCGTCCAGGGTGAGCTCTGTGCTACCACAGTGACAACCAGTTTACAACTAGCTTGGACATGTCCCCACAATCTGCAGTCTTCCCTACCTCAAAGGTCTCTTCCAGTGGTGATTTCCCTAGCAAGTTTTGGGTGAAAAAGCATTTGCTCCTGGTGAAGTTTAGCTCTTGGACTGGCAGCCTTGGAACATGTGAATCCTAGAGTCAGTCTCCTGAGTACTGAGCCTCATTACCAGCTGGAATACTTGGCTACTTGCTTTCCAATGAAGCAGAAACCTGGTGACTCGTTGTATCAAGGGCTCGATAGCACAGTCAGGAAAAGTTCAAGGGCAATTCTACCTCTATCATGTACTTTCCCAACTGCCACTGAAGTTGTATTGCAGTGAAGTATCCTTTACTTCCAGATCTGGGATCCCAGAGCAGCATGAGGCAGTCGCAGCCATCCCCACAAATGGGGCCATGTGCTGTGAGGTTGGGGGATCTATTTTTTGTTGACTCTTTTGGAAATGGAAAGGGAAAG